ATGCAATAATGCAAGTTTTTATACAATAATGTAAGTTTTATACAAACATAATTTATTTGAAATATTCATCATATTTAATTATTCTTATAGCTACTCTTTTACTTTTATGTGTTATATTATATATTATAAATAATAGTATATATAGTAAATATATACTAAACTTAAGTTCATATATAGACTGACACTGCTCCAGATTATGTTGTAAACATTTGAGCTCGAGAGTATGCATAGCTTTCAACCGTGTGAAGTTTGCAATGCACCACGGTGCACCAGCCCTCCATTGTGTGTCTCCCCACGTCAATCCTCCAGTTTGTCCACTCTAGTACGTCCCATTGTTCACACGCGTTTACATGCGTGTCGAGCTGTAGCGGTCAGAGGTAGGCCTGCTAACACCGCTTAAGACCGCTTACACCTGTTAGTGCGCCCCCCGTCGATGGCGAGCGCACAGCCATTAAAGCTTAACAAAAGAGACTGCGCCGCAGCTATAAACCGATCAATGTCAAGTAAATAACCTTTCTGCGGCTTATTTCCCGACTGCTATCGATCGCTCTCCCACCGGGGCCAAAAGTGTCACCTCTGGCCTCAGCATCAGCAGGAGGAATGACGCGCTGCAGTCTGGACACGACCAACGCGTGTTTACAATCTCTTATCTGTTATACAGTGTGGTTTTTGGAAATACAATAGATGTTATTGGGAGGGGAAGTTTGCTTGAGGCTCAAGATGATGAGTGTGAGAAGTTATACATGTTTACACTTGAGAAGATTCATTTGAGAAGAAAATATTTTTTAACCTTAAACATGTACCAATGAAGACTTTAAATTGTACATCATTATATCTACAACACAGAGGTCATTATTTGACATCTTGTTCACTTCAATATTGATCTAAAAAGGCTTAAAGGTGATGTCAGTAAATTATTTTTCTTGTCACCAATTCATTATATCTCAGAGATAGTGTTTCCAAACTGCGAGTATCCAGACCCTGAGAGATACGCCGGGGTATTGCAGGGGATACTTGATACTTGTGTTAATATGAGCATGCAATCATCATTTAAAGCTAACTCAATCCGGAGAGACCAATACAGGCACGTTAATGCATTTAGAACGATTTATTGTTTGGTGCATTGACCCCGGCAGGGACACTTGCAGAGGGGAGATCACTGCTGCTGAGATGATCTCAGATCCCCAAGAGTCAAGCACTGTGAATGGGACGTAGGCGGAGCAGGAGCCAGAGCAGGAGCTTGAGGAGGTGCTGGGGAGGCGTGGGTGTCAAGAGCTTCAGGAAGGGCTGGTTAGTAGGAAGTGGCTGCTTTTAAACTGCTGGCTTTGCTGTCAGTAGTTGGCAGGGGGGCTGGCCGAGCTGTGCGATTGGCTGAGGCTCGAGGCTGGCAGAGCTCTGTTAGGTGAGAAATGCGGCACGCAGGTGTTCTCAGTCTGAATTTGCTCTTAAGCTTCATTTCAATCTGGAGGAACCAAGACAGACACGTTAATGCATTTAGAAAGATTTGTTTGTAGGCATGTCACGATTACAAATTTTGCTGGACGATTAATTGTCTCCAAAATTATTGCAATAGGCGATAGTATTGTCATTCTGAGATCATTTTCATCTAATACAATGATAATGATGCAGGTACACCTTTTCAAAGAGAAATACACTTTTATTTTGGCACGCATCGCACATGCGCACGTCCCATCCTTAATGAGTTAACACAAGCACACACACAGATGCACATGTACACACACAAGCATGCACTCACTCAAATGCAAACACACACACAAGCACGCACACAAACAAATGAACATGTACACACAAGAATGCACATGCGCAAATGCACACACACAGATTTACACGTACACACAAGCATGCATATACAGTGCCTTGCGAAAGTAATCGGCCATCTCACTTTCATCTCAAACAAGGAGAAGACTGATCAGAGATGCAGCCAAGAGGCCCATGATCACTCTGGATGAACTGCAGATAACTACAGCTGAGGTGGGAGAGTCTGTCCATAGGACAACAATCAGTCGTGCACTGCACAAATTTGGCCTTTATGGAAGAGTGGCAAGAAGAAAGCCATTTCTCAAAGATATCCATAAAAAGTCTCGTTTAAAGTTTGCCACAAGCCACCTGGGAGACACACCAAACATGTGGAAGAAGGTGCTCTGGTCAGATGAAACCAAAATCGAACTTTTTGGCCACAATGCAAAACGATATGTTTGGCGTAAAAGCAACACAGCTCATCACCCTGAACACACCATCCCCACCTCAGCAGTAGTTATCTGCAGTTCATCCAGAGTGATCATGGGCCTCTTGGCTGCATCTCTGATCAGTCTTCTCCTTGTTTGAGATGAAAGTTTGGAGGGACGGCCGGGTCTTGGTAGATTTGCAGTGGTCTGATACTCCTTCCATTTCAATATAATTGCTTGCACAGTGCTCCTTGAGATGTTTAAAGCTTGGGAAATCTTTTTGTATCCAAATCCGGCTTTAAACTTCTCCACAACAGTATCTCGGACCTGCCTGGTGTGTTCCTTTGTCTTTATGGTTCTCTCTGCGCTTTAAACAGAACCCTGAGACAATCAAAGAGCAGGTGCATTTATACGGAGACTTGATTACACACCGGTGCACTCTATTTATCATCATCAGTCATTTAGGACAACATTGGATCATTCAAAGATCCTCACTGAACATCTGGAGTGAGTTTTCTGCACTCAAAGTAAAGGGGACGAATAATATTGTACGCCCCACTTTTCAGTTTTTTATTTATTAAAAAAGTTTAAATTATCTAATAAATTTTGTTCCACTTCACGTTTGTGTCCCACTTGTTGTTGATTCATGACAAAAAATTAAAATTGTATATCTTTATGTTTGAAGCCTGAAATGTGGCAAAATGTTGAAAGGTTTCGCAAGGCACTGTACACACAAGCACGCACTCACACAAATGCAAACGTACACACAAGCATGCACACACACAAATGCACACGTACACACAAGCATACACACACATGTACACACAAGCATACACGAACACAAATGCACACATACACACACTGATAAACACGTACACACAAGCACACACGTACACACAAGCATGCACTCACACAAATGCACACGTACACACAAAAATACACACACATGTACACACAAGCATACACGAACACAAATGCACACATACACACACTGATAAACAAGCACACACGTACACACAAGCATGCACTCACACAAATGCACACGTACACACAAAAATACACATGCAGTATACACACATACACAAGTACACAAATGCCAACGTACAAACAAGCACACACACATACCCACAAGCATGCACACATAAAAATGCACATGTACGGGTGACAGTGACTCAGATGGAAGAGCATTGGCCTTTGAGTCTAAAGGTCGCGTGTTCGAGCCCACCATGAGACTTTCTCCACTGTCTCCCACTGATGTCTGCTGTCGCTGTGTCTTTGGGCAAGACACATAACCCACTTTGCCTATATGGAGCGTGGAAGTAATGTTCGCTCCATGCCTTGATGTGTGTACGTGTATTCATCAAACTTAAATTTCCCCACTGTGGGACGAATAAAGGACCTTCTGCTTCTCCTTTATGTACACGTCTTGTTCTGCAGACCAGATAAGCTCCACCTCCTCATAGCAGCAGCGGCTAACAGTAAAACTACAATTTTATGGGCAGAGTTTCCACGTGTCCTGCGTGGTTTCCTCCAAGTGCTCCAGTTTCCCTCATTAAATGTACCGCGGGACTTTAATTGAAAACTTGAGCAACTGTTCATTCGATAAAGTGCTAGATTGATTTATTATAAAATAAACCGATAACTGCAGCCACAATATTTATCCATATATTTTCTACTCAAATAATTTACAATAAAATACAATTTATTCTTATATAGCCCTAAATCACAACAGCAGTCATCTCAGAGTAATTACACCATCGAAATCAGCAGAAAATACACATATGTATTGGTCCATAGGGAGAGACTCATGTCCATGAATGTTGATAAATGTTCATACATGTTGATAAATGTTCATACATGTTGTAGAATGTTCATACATGTTGTAGAATGTTAAGGTGTCCTGGATCATCCCCACAGACCCTCCTGCATCGGCAAGGATGAACTCTAAAACCCAGTGGGAAAAAAGTGAGAAACCTTGCACCTTTCACAAGTTAAAACCTGAAACGCTAAAATTGCACCTAAAATAAATAAAAACATCACATTTTATATGACTTTTGTACTGTGTTTGTAGGATTATCTCCTGAAAGTGGCACCTTTTACACATCTTTCATATATGGCAAAAAGGAATTGTATCTTGTTTAAATACAAATTGTATACGGTCTGTATAGTTTTGTAGAATGTAATTAATATAAAAACCGTATGTCATAGATATATGAATGTGTGTATTTTCTATTTATCATACCATAAGAGTAATGAGTGTGTAATAGTGTAATAAGGGTGTAAAAGCAGTTCTTTCAATTGCATGATCATAATGATGAGTCATCACAATAACTTTTGGGGTGGGGGGGGGGGGGGGGGGGGGGGGGGGGGGGGGGGGGGGGGGGGGGGTGGGGGGGGGGGGGGGGGGGGGGGGGGGGGGGAGGGGGGGGGGGGGGGGGGGGGGAGGTGGGGGGGGGGGGGGGGTGTGTGTTGCTGTGGATGGTTTGATACAAGTTTTATTAGCAATTTTTGTCATTGGGTTTTGGGGATATGGGTGTTGTGGAGTGGTGATAGGGGGGAATTGTTGGGGTATTGTGTGTATTTCTTTTGTCTCGGATACTCGGGTTGGGCGGTTGTTAGCTGTGTACCCTGTGTAATGCGATCCTCCGACGGTGCCATAGAAATAAAATGTTTCTTATGATTTTAAGATTATTTCCAAAGTACACACACACCAAGCCTTAGACCCAAACTCTCTTGACCCTACACCTCTCTTCCTATCGTTTCTCTACTCTTTAAAATGTAACCTAAACATGTTTTTTAGTCACTCTCTTGCCACTATTCCCCCCCCCCCCCCCACACCTTCCCTGTGTCCGCCCCCCCCCCCCCCCCGCCAACCCCCCCCCCCCCCCCTCCCCCCCCCCCCCCCCCCCCCCCCCCCCCCCCTCCACCCCCCCCCCCCCCCCCCCCTCCCCGCGCCCCCCCCCCTCCCCCCCCCTCCCCTCCCCCCCTTTCCCATCCCCCCCCCCATCTCACAGCTGGGTAACACCATCTTCCTGTTTCCAGATGAATCTTTTTGTCGTCTGGTTTTGAGTCCAAGTTTTACGGATCTCGAGAGAGAGTGGGCGAGGACCATTGTGAACTTCTCTCCGAGCACTCCGCACTGGTACATCCAGGTCGGATTTTTACTTGTCCGGGGCCAGGAACCAGTTAAACATGGCCTCAGTGAACGTGGAAGCGTACAGTTGGTTCATTGAGAGGAGGGGGGGGGGGGGGGGACCAGAATTCCCCACATTAGATACATACATATAAATCTGTCATATCCTTTGGCCCTCGCGGGCGGTTTATCACTCTCTTAGCTCGGGTCCCTCTACCAGAGGCCGGGAGCTGAGGGTTCTGGCAAGTATCTTTTGCTTTGTTCATACACTGCACATTTCTGGACCCTGATGTCCCGAGGTTGTTCAGGATCCTCTGGAACATCTTCTAGCTTCGGGGTCACTGCCCCGGTGCACCGATCACCACGGGCACTACTGTAACCTTTACCCTCCAGGCCCTCTCACAGCTCTCTCTGAGACCTTGGGTATTTCTCAAGATTTTCATGTTCCTTTTTCCGGGAAAAGGATGGCCGCGGTGAAAATGATGCGTTTTCAGCTCTTCTGCTTGGATTTTTGCTTGTTTTACCACTCACGTCATGGATGACAGCTAGTGGGGGGTGAAAAAGATGAAGATGCAGTTTGCCGCTAGGACCCCGTTCAAGTTTCAAAATTTTGCATTTCGCTGAGGGTACAAGCGGCGTGTTGAGTATTCGCAGGCCTTTCCAGCGTTAACCCAGACATCCGCATTGAGGATGAGAACTATCTTCCCATTCCCATGTATAGGCACATTGCTTCCTTCTTGTCCGTTTTCAAGGCAGGATGGGCGGCACGGTGGCTGAGTGGATAGCACTATCGCCTTCTGCAAGAATGGTCCTGGTTCGAATCCGGGTCGGACCAGGCCCTTTCTGAGGTGGGAGTTTGCATGTTACTCCCCATGTATGCGTTAGGTTTCCTCAGGGTGACTGGTTTCCCCTACCTCTAATAACTATGTCCAATAGTTCTGCCTGTGCCTCTGTACTGGCCCCTCCCATCTCTGTGTGGAGTGAGAGACAAGCATGCCCATTAAATTAACAATTGTAAACCACTTTGAGGAACTCAGATCTGTAGTGAAAAGGCGGTGGTATATATAAATAACTATTACTTACTTACTTAATTTCGCGTGGACTTGCCACGTCACCACCACGGCTGTCCTCTGCCTCTTTGTCCACCATCGGCTGTCCTCTGCCCTTTGTCACCACCACGGCTTTGTCTCTACCCTTTGTCCACCACACAGGATGTCTCTACCTTGGTCCTCCTACACCGGCTGTCCCTCTGACCTGTGTCCACCACCATGGCTGTACTCTGCCTTGGTCCACACACACGGCTGTCTCTGCCCTTGTCCTACACACGGCTGTCCTCTTGCCTTTGTCCACCACCACGGCGGTCCTCTGCCATTTGTTCACACCACCACGCTGTCTCTGACCCTTTGTCCACACCAAGGCTGTCCTCTGCCCTTTGTCCCCACCACGGCTGTCCTATGCCCTTTGTCTACTCCACCCACGGCTGTCCTCTGCCCTTTGCCCACCACGGCTGTCCTCTGCCCTTTGTCCACCAACCCGGCTGTCCTCTGCCCTTTGTCACCCACCACGATGTCGGGGTTGGTTCATTTACCATTTCGGCGGGCGGTCTGTATCTGGAAGTCTCACACAGGATCTTTGCTCCATTTTCCACCACCTTTGGAGGAGTTTCCACTTAGACCTGGGGGTTTCAAGACCATACTCTGCCACAGATGTTTCTGTACATATGCAGCCACTTGGTTATGGCGTTCAGTGTAGGCCTTCCCTGCCTGCATCTTGCACCCTGCAGTTATGTGTTGGAGTGTCTCAGGTGCCTCTTTGAACAACGACACCGTGGGTCTTGTTGGTGTGGTATTCTGCGGCCTCTATCGCTCTGGTGTCAGTGCCTGTTCCTGTGCAGCCTGATGAGTGCCTCTGTGCTGTCCTGTTAGGCCCAGCCCTTTTAGCCATTGGTGGTCCTTCTTGTGATCAGCCACTTCTGTTATGCTCCGGTGGTCCATGGCCGTTTGGGGTCTTGTTCTCCCTTGATGGGCTCTCCTCCAGCACTCCTCATCTCGCCACTGCCTGTGACATCACTGAGTACGTCATCCGTTTTGGCCTTCTCCATGATGTAGTTATGGGTTTGGAGTTTCGTCCTGGACAATGGCTCTCACACTCACTAGTCCTCGGCCTCCATTCTTTCGGCTGTACGGTACAGGTCTCAGGGATGCTGGATTTGGGATTGTAACCCGGCCATGCATGGTAAGGAGCTTCGAGTTTTAACCTCCGTGGTCTGAATCTTCTTTCCTTTGGCCCCCTGATTATTCCTGCAGGGTATTCTGATCACTGGCAGGGCGTAGCTGTTTATTGCCCGAGCCTTGTTGCTTGCCATTGAGCCCGGCTTCTTAGGACCTGCCTTACTCGCTGGAGGTATTTGGCAGTGGCCGCGTATTCTCGTTTGCCATGTTCGAGGTTCCATTTGCCTGTGGGTATACCGTGATACTGGTAAAAACTGTCCTCAACTCTGGCATTGTTCCTCTCTGGGAGTGAGATCCATTCTGTGTGCTACCTTGTCTCTCCGAGTCACATCTGCTACAATTTCTGTTCTGTCAACCAGGAGCTGGTGTTTGGCTCCTCTGGTGTCTCTACAAGGAGCGGTTGTTTGGCTCCTCTGGATGTCCCTACCAATGCCCTTCTGTGCTGTGCTCATGAATTGTTCCCATATGCCCATCTTGTCTTAGCCGCAAATGATACCTGACATTGAGCTTTCCATGTTGTGGAGAGACTAAGTTATTGGCCGGTTGTTGGAGGGGACTGCTTGATCAGGACGTTCGCCCTTCGGTTGCTGTTAGCCATTCTGGGTGAGGACCCATCTTCAGCTGCTGTCCATTTGTGCTGCGGAGGCGCTCATGGTGTGATGTGTGTGTCCTTAGCGCCCTCAGTAGCATGGACCATTTCAGGGCCAGGTGCGGTCCAGTTTTTCTTACCTGGAGACTTTTCCCGGATGTCTGCCTCTGTGTTGGGTAACTGTGTTCTGTTTGGGAGGTGGATGTGCTCCTCTCTCAGGGACCACCAGCCATTGTGCACTGTGTTTATGTGCTTGCATCCTTCCCCATATGTTCTTCAGAACTGTTCAGTTTCCTGCCTCGGTGGGTCGCTCCTGTTGCTACCATGTTGGTACCCTGTGTGTTACCCTGCAACCTGTGCGTTACACTTCTTCGCAGGTTGTGTTGCGAACAGCTGTTCACCCCTTCTGCTTCATCTCTTTAGTGTACCTCTGTAGGCGGGCTGGCCAGGGCTGGAGCATTTGTTTGGCAGTTTCAGTTTCGTGTGCTTCAGGGTATGGTTTTCTGGCTGTACTTTCTGGGTTCTGGTCTTTTCTTTGGACCTCTCTGGGCCTCTGTTAATTGACTCACTTTCTTCGAGCCACCTTGATTCAGCCTCCCAACCGTCTTTTCCATGGTGGGTATTGTCCATGGCTCCATGGTGCCTTCGTATTGCAAGCATCTCTAGGTCTTCACTGCTGCTGAAGTGTATTTCAGCTCTATTGGTTTCTGTGTTTGTGGTGGTAGGTATACCCACCCCCCCACCCCACCACCACCCCCCACACCCACCACCCCCACACAACCAACCACAACCACCCAAACCCAACACAACAAACCCACCCCCCAACCCCACCCAACACCCAACACCCCCCCCCCACCCACCCAACAACACACCCACACCAACCCAACCACCCACCCCCACACCAACCCACCACCCCAACCCCACACAAACCACCACCACACCCACACCCCACCACAACCCCAACCACACCCCCCCCCACCCCAACACCACCCAACCCACCACCCCACACCACCCCACCACACCCACACCCCCCACCACAAACCCCACCCACACACCACCAACCACCCACACCCCCCCACCACCCCCCCCCAACACCCCACACCACAACCCCCACCCAACACACCACACCCCCCCACCCCCCACCCCCCACAACCCCACCCCCACCCACCCCAAAACCACCCCAACCCCACACCCACCACCCCACACACCCACCAACCCCACACACACCACAACCCCCCCAACACCCCACAACCCCCCACCACCCCCACCCAACCCACACCACCCCACCCCCAACCACCACCCCACCCCCACCCACCCCCCCACACCCCACACCCCCAACCCACCCCCCCCCACCCACCCCCAACCCCCCCACCCCCCCACACCCCACCACAACCACCACCCACCCCAACCCACCCACCCCCAACCACCCCCACCCCCCAACCCACCACCCACCCACCCCCACACCCCACACACCCCCACCCACCCCCACACCCCAACCCACCCCACACCACACCCCCACAACCACCCCACACCACCACCAACCCCACACCACCCCACCCCCCCACAACCACCAACACCCCACACCACACCCCCCCCCACCACCCCCCACCCCACACCACCCCACAACCACACCCCAACAACCACCCCACCCACAACACCCACCCCACCCCCCAACCCACACCCACCACCCACCACCCCACCCCCAACCCAAACCCCACCACAACCCAACCACACCCCCACCACCCCCCACCCACCCAACACACCAACCACACCCACCCACAACCACCACACCACCCAACACCCACCACACCCCCACCCCCCCACCCCCCCACCACCCCCCACACCAACACCCCCCCCACCCCACCCCCAACACCACACACCAACCCCACCCACACCCCCACACAAACCAACACCCCACCCACCAACCCCCCCACACCCACAACCACCCACCCCACAACCCACCCACCCACCACCAACCCAACACCCACCCACCAACCAACCCCCACACCACCACAACAACCCCCCACCCAACCACACACCCCACACCCCACCAACCACACCCAACCCACCACACCCACAACCACAACAAACCACCCACCCAACACCCCCCACCACACCCCACCACAACCCCACCACCCCCCAACCCACCCAACACCAACACCCACCCACCCCACCAACACCCCCCACACCCACACCAACAACCCCACCAACCCCCACCAAACCCCAACAACACACCCACCACACCCCACACCCCACCACCACCACCCAACCCCAACACCAACCCCCACCCACCCCCAACCACCCCACCACAACCCCACCAACACCCACACACCCCCCACCCCCCACAACCCACACCCCCACCCCACAACACCCACCCACACAACACACCCAACCCCCACCCCCCAACACAACCCCACCACACCCACCCCAACCCACAACCACCCACAAACCACAACACCCACCACCACACCCCAACACACCCAACACCCACCCACAACCCACACCCACAACCACACACCACAACCACCCCACCCACCACACCCCCACAACCCCCACCCCACCACCCCAACACCCCCACCACAAACCCACACCACCCCACCAAACACCCAACCCACCAACCCCAACCACCCACCCACAACCAACACCCACCACCACCCAAACACCCACCCACAAACATCAACCCACACCCCAAAACACACATACAACCACACCCACCACAACACAACACCCCACAAACTACCCCCAACCACCCATCCCCCAAACACAACCTAACCAAACACAAATCACTAACCCCACCCACCCCCCCACACCCCCAAACCACCCACTCACCACAACACCATCACACAACCACACCCCCACCCCCACCCCAAACAAACAACAACACACTAAAACCCATACACCCAATCACACCAAACTCCACAAACCCCACAAACTCCCACCCCCCAAAAACCCCCCCCTCCCCACATACTCAAATCAACCCCAACCAACAACCCCACACACCCACCCACCCACTAAAAACACACCTCATTCATACATAAAATAATCTTTACCACAACCCAAAAACCCTCCAAACATAATTTCCCCCCCTCCACCCAACACAACATCCTCACTCTCAACTTACCCCCTCCCCAAACCCCACCAACTCAACCTCCTAATCTCATCAAATCACCCCACCCCACCCCTCACCCCATCCTAACCCATCCACAACCCCACACACCCACTCAACACCCCCCACCCACAAACCCTCCTAACCCCCTACAAACCCTCTCCATCCCCCCCCCTCCTACCCTCATATCTCCATACACATACACCCTCCCAACAAAACCACCTCCATCCCACCTCAATCACTTCCCATATATCCCTACACCCCCTACTACAACCACCTCACATAACCATACCCCCATAACCCTCAACTCCAATATACCAATACCCCCACACACCCTACCCAATCACCCACATAACCCCACCCACACACCCCCCCTTCACCCCCACCCACAACCACACCCACCCTATTACACCCTCTCATCCAATACCCATATCCACACAATACATCTCCCCATCACTACCACAATATTTCCTCCCCCCCCACCTCACCACCAATACCATCTCCCATCACACCCCCGCTCATACACTTATCACCCTCTCTAATATAAACATCCACATCATCACAACTATCTTATCAACACCTCTCTCGCTGATACATTAAATCTAAATACCATCTCACCAAACCCTAGAATACCATCATAAAACCTCCAAAATCCACTTACTAAACTTAAAAACCCACACTATTAAACCTTACCATAAAAAAACCCCCACATCATACACAACATCCCCCACAATAAAAACCTCAAACAAATACCCACCCCCAAATAAAACCACACATCTTCATACCCCCCATCCCAACCACACAACATCACATACCCTCAACACCCAACCAACAAAACCAACACATCAAATCACCAAACTCCCCCAACATCCCAAAAACATGACCCATTCAATAACCCTCACTCACCCATCCCCACAATCACCCCCATCCCTATACACCTCAAAACCACCCCACCCCCCCCCCCCCTTCCAACCCCAACATACAAACATACTACTCACCCCTTATCAAACCTCCCCCCCTCAACCCCCCTACCACCCCATCCTCCTTTAACAACAATACAAAATCATCAATCCTCAAAATCATCCTCTATCCTCCATCATCCTTATTTCTTCTCAACCACATAAACCATACTCCCCTCCCCCTTATTCAAACCCTCTATCCCTCTCCAAACAAAATAACACCCTCCCCCACCCTAATACTACTTTCAACACCCCCCCCATAAATTCAACCCCCCCCTCCAATCTCTTCATCCTATAAATCATCTAAACTACCAAACACCCTCTCACCCACCTTCTCCTAACTCCAAACCTCTTACCAACCCCCTCCCACCACTCCCACTAAATCCACCCCCTCCCCATTCTCAACCACATCCTCCATTCTCAAACACATCCCCTACACTCTCCATTCTCATCCACTCACCCCACATCCCCACACAACCCCACATACCCCCATTCTCACCACTACACTCACATCTCCTCCACCACTACCTCAACCACAACACAACCCACCCAACCCACACCAACCCTCCATATACCCCATCAATAATAACCTACCATCACCTCCCTAACCACCACTACCCCACCACAACCACCACCCCCCCCATCCCACTCCCCTCCTCTCCCCCTCACCCTCCAACCACCCATCCCTCCCCCTCATCATCATCATCATATCATCATCTCACTACACCATCAATTAACTCCTTCCTCTACCCTCAACACCCCTCATCAAATCACCTATCCTATTCTCTAACCTTCCCTACCCCCCTCACCCTATTCTTCCTACATCCATCTACAAAATCCTCCAAATCCTCTATACCCAATCCTCTTTTCCCAACCTTCTACCCCATCTCTCCAACCCCCAACCCAAATCCATCCACCCATCCTCAAACATCCTACCTCCTAACCTACCTTCATATCCCTCCCCCAACCTCCCCCACCCACAATAAATAACCTCATCTTCACAAACCTCCCATACTTCCAATCCTCCCTACAACCCACATAAATCAAATCACCCCTCCAACACCAAAATATCACCCCCCCCCCATCCCATCACTATTCCTTTCCCTCCAACTTACCCCCCCTCAAAAACCAAACTCCTCTATCCGACACACACAAAACCACCACCACCTAATAATAACATAATCTCTCTCTCTCTCACTCACCAACCCTCAATTAATTACCCCCCACCAAAAACAACCCACCCCTAACCCCTAATAATATCCCCCCCAACCCATCATATATCTTCACCCCCCCTCAAACATCCCAACATCCACAACCCTCCATAAATCCCACACCCACCCATACCCCCCCACTAAATTACATCCTTTTTCAAACCCCAATTCAACCCATTACTTCAACCCCTCTACCTTAAATCCAACCCCTTTTTATCCATTATCCTCTTACCCATTATCCTCCTCCTTTTCCTTCTACCCAATCCCCTCTACCCCATCAACCCCTCTCCCTAACCACCTCTTCCCCAATCCTCAAAATCCCTTTACCTCCCTACACATCTCCCCATCATCTCAAAATCATCAAAATCTCTTTCAACCCCCCACCTTCTACTCTCCTCTATCCTCTCTCCTCCTCCTCCTCATTTTACATACCATTCTATTTTTCCGACCAAAACACATATCATCATCATAACAAATACCAATAATAACAAATACCACAACAAAACCTCTACTACCTAAAACACCTACTAACCCCCCCCCCCCACCAATAACCACCCATCATATCCTACACAAAACAAACAAACCAACCTCTTCTCTCCTCATCTACATACTCTCTCTCTCTCTATCACCCTTATTCATCTTTCTCTCTATTATCCTTTCCTCTTTATCTCTCTTCTACCCTTCACAATCCTTTCCTCTCCTCTACCTTCTTTCCTCTTCTCATACCCTTAATCTTTTACAACCCCATTTCTCATATCCAATTTCATACCACATCCCTCTTTCACAACACACCTTCTCACATTCTACCCATCCTCACCCCACCTCCCCCCCATCCTCCACACCCTACATATTATCCACCTCCCAATAAAAACTCCTCCACCTCCCCTAACAAATTAACAACACCCCCCCCCCACCCTTCACTCTAACATTCCCACCCCCCCCTAATACATTACACCCTTCCCCTCTCTCACACCACCCCCCCCCTTCAAACCTTCTCAACCCACTCACCCTCAACCCCTCCACCCCCCATCCCAACCAACCCCCTTTACTAATCATCAAAAACCTCAAAAATTACATTCCCTCCAATCTAACCACCTCCCTCCCTCCATAACCATCCTAAACAATAAAACAATACACATCCCCCCCCACCCCATCCACATACCCACACAATAATACCCAACAAAACCAACCCCCCCCCCCCCCACACCCTCCCCCATTCCACCAAAATCCCTCACTAACTCCCATCCAACCAAACCAACAAACAATAAACTCATACCAACACACACACATCAATTATAACACAATAAATCCCTCCCAACCAAACTCTACCACCCCAACATATATACCCCCCACCTCTACACACCCCTTTCCCTCTCTCCCTCAATTTAAATCACCCCCCTTTCCATCAACCACACCATTAATACATCCCACCCCCACACCACAACATCCCCTCACACCCCACCAAATTCCCCCTAACCAAAACACAAAAACAAACCCAACACAAACCCCTACCTCACATTACACATCCAAACATCATCATATACTATAAACCCCAATCCAACCGTTATCAATATGTTCCTTTCATTTTACTTCTCTATTTCAGCACACTAATAATACATATTAAGTCTTATCAGTCCCCCACACATAATCATACACACACTTCCATTTTTCACATACAATACTCACATTCAATCCCCCCATCCTTCACTCCTTTCAAACCTCCTATAACCTATACAATATCCCCATCATCACATCCCCACATATAAACCATTTCCGTCTCTACCCATCCCCTTCCCACTCACTTTAACCATCTAACCCATACACTCTCATTACAATGTCTACCAAATTAACACCTAGCCTATATCTTCACACTCCTAGTCAATAAACCCACACTTCTGCCTCACTCTGCGTTGCCTCTCGTTTAAACATCTCTCTTTCTACACCACACATTCTCCTCTGCCCGTCCGCTCGGATCATCATGCTTTTCACTGTCCCATGATCCCTTACTCCTTACCCATGTGTTATTCACAAACGATCAGCTAACTCACCATGTATCCATATCTCTAACCTTCTATTTAATTATCACTTTATAAATTTAAACCAACATACCACTCAACATCCTAAAATCCAAATAAAAACCCTCATTTAACAACAACACTATCTACCACCAAAAAATATCATATAATCCCCCCAACCATAAATCCCCTAAATTATGAATAACCCCACAGACCACAACAAACCGCACATCTAACTTCACTGAAAAAAATAATATAAATACACCATGAACTCAAAGATATACATCCAACACATTTAATTAAATACACTAATAGTAAGGTCAACCATCTATAGACCTCTTCCCCTAACCACCATACACCATATCCCCCACATATCACTCCCACAAACCCATATTAAAATAAATTACTATTAATATCTCACCCTCCCAAACACAATTAAACAATAAAATAAATAATAATATAACCCACACTTAAAATAACACCACCAATCCCAATACACATAATACCCCCACATTAAAAAACACTTCACAATACAAAACCAAACCATCAAACCAATAAAAAAAGAACAATACAATCTAAAAATACAGTATGTAAAATCATACATGATCTACCCTACCAACTAAAATGAAATTTCACAATAACTAGAATTACCCAAAAAAAACAATGAGATTTATAAACACACCAAATTCAACCCCCAATTGTAATTTGCTTCTATTTCCAATTATAAGCATTATATTTATAGTCCATATATCAATCATGTATTGTAGTAAAATCAATAGAACAAAATAATAGTACAAAGTGTACAAGCTCTGACCACCAATAAAGTTGTGATTGAGCTCTGCATAACATCGCAAATTAAACATACATATTATCTGTATTCTAATTAAAAACAAAACAACATGATATCAAACCATCGCTAAATACATTCATAATAATACAAAAGGATATATGTGAACCTATTTTTATAAACGATCCACTTCTCAACCCATCATTCCCAATATCCACCATAATAAAACAATAAATAACTTCCAATCAATCCCATAAACCACCCTATACAATACCCCAAACCCCCAAAAAAAAATTTGTTCCGTATATAATCATATTTAACCAATTATTATAAAAAATATCTAACATCACAGTTCCATACATAATTAAAACAAAAATTCTTAACTAATAGTCCAAACATCATCATTCCTATTAAACCTATATTATACAAATAATTTCTCCCACATTTTAATTGCCATAAACTTACTAACACCAAAAAGAAAACCCAAAACCATTCCATACCCATTATAAAAAGTACCAACAAAAACCATTTATACCATAACAAAAAAACCACCACCATCAACACCAACCCCCGATACCTACAATTTTCATAAATTAAACATAAAATATAAAATCAATATGACATAGTTAATACACAATAGCTCACAGTCCTTATCTCAAATAATATCCAATCCACACAACATAACTAAAACATACCATATATTCAACATGTTAACACAACTTAAGTAAGTATCATCAAAACCCACGAAAAACCATAACATTTCAAAATGTACCTAAATCACAAAGCATAATTTGATCCAAACCCTTAACCAACATCACTTCTTACGAGAGAATTCTGTCGAATTATTGACATCAGGACATAGCATATCCATACAACAACAAACTATTGTGACCTAAACCATCTTCTCTACAATTAACCCCACTCATGCATATCAAACATGTTAGACAAGTCTATACATATTCGAAGTTAATTTTGTTAAACAAGAACACTATAAATTAATGATTAAAAAACACCCTAAAATATAATTAACACACTCCTAACCTCCACCATTTATTATATTTATATATCATAACAAAACACAAACTTTATATAAAATAAAATACAATAAATATAACCCAACACTCTTACATAAATCAAGCCACCCATATAATCGTATATTCATGTGCGTTGAAAATCAGTAAATACCCTAATTAATTTTACACACTAATTATTTAAGCTCTCTTCTTGGTCTTTGACCTCATACATCATCCATTTACTCACACAATTAATTGTTTTCAAAGTTATATTATCCAAAAAAACATATTTTCTATCTTTACCTAATTCCCATCTAATCTTTTTAAAACATCTATTTTCTTTTTTATGCTACAACTACCAGTACCTGAATAAAAAATAACTGGAATTTATC